CCTTTTCCCAAATAAAGGCTTTTTTTGCACCCCTCAATATCGCACGCTAATGGTGAATGGGTATCAGGGTGTATTCATAAAAGCAGGACACACTGTATATGCCCATTATGATGTTATCTCGTTGCTAATAGGAGAATTGGAAATAAATGGACTTGAAACTGCGTGGATAGGACCAACACTCAGATGAGAATGATTGATGATGATGATGACGAAAGATAAAGGAATTTATATCCATATAGACAATGGACACGATGGTCAAAATAATTGGTATTCAACAAAGTTCATGAAACTAGATAGTTTCAGTTAAATTCATTTCGGTATATTGTTGAATTTTCGATACCTAATCGATTATCCAATACAATTCCTTATGAACTGTTATCAAAGTCAAAATAATTGACGATTTCCTCTCAACAAAATAAAACACTAATGGATTATGGCATGCATATAACAACGTATTTGCCAACCATATATACAATTTTAACAATTTCAGTCTCTTCACATGAAGATTTATGAGCTCTCTTCAAATCATCTATACCAATGTCAAGGTCAAAGCAATTAATAGAAAATAGTAGCAGCAGACTTGTTCGGTAGATTGGAGGCAAGTAATCGAGACTGTTCGAGATAGCTGGATCTGAGACTGAAACCTTCAATATATTTCTCTTCCACGATATAGTTTTTTTTCTCTCTAGCAGACACGGAGATATTAGGGAATCAAGTGAAAGTTTGTTCATATTTTATCTACTGCTAGTTAAAAAAATCTTCTTCAAAATAATTGGAATGTATTAATGTAGAAAGTATCATTGAATGCCCAAAATGAGAGTTTTGTACATCAGTTTCTTTCAAATATGAATGAAAAATCCAATTGAACTTTTTATTGTAGATATCTTATTAGATTGCTTCATCATGGACTTTTATCGACATATATCTAGTTATAAGATGAAATTACTCGTCTTAAGAGTGTATATCTTCATCAAATATGAAGTAATCCCAAGGAAATGATGTCCCTAAAGACTGTTATTATTAGGGGAATAAAATAAACACTTCCTCAGATTATTTTACGATGCGAGATTCTCATTTAGAGAACCAATTACAGTTGATGATTCCGTGATTCACATGTTTTTATTATAGTTCTCGTAATTAAGTCAAGTTCTATTAAATTCACTTTTCCGCCTTTCCAGTTTATAAACATTGCTATACGGCCGTTTATTGATGTCGTAAAACATGATAAATATAATTATTTTCCGAATTTATTGGTTTATTAGGCGCTTTAAGATACCCTAATGGAAGGACGCTGTTTGGACTTTATTGCCACCAACATTGTTTCCATAAGACCAAATCTTCATTTCAACATATTCAACCAAACAGGGTGATCCAATCAAAAAAAAAACCACAGTTGATCAAGATTTTTTCCATGCATACTTCGTTATACAATGAGGAACCACTGTTGGTGAGCTTCTTTTGAATGAGGAAAATAATCACATTCACTTTAAATAGTTTTACTTCGTTTTACTGCTATAACTCAGATCATGCAATCAACTAGATCATTACAACTAATATGGAGATTATTTTGACTCTCCTCCAGATCCAGATAAACTTGGGAAGTCTTCATTCTGGAATCTACACTCAGCTTCAAAAAAGTGACGCACTTGATATTTGACCTATCTTCTTGAAAAAAAAAAAAATAGTAGGCCGATTTTTATTTTTTTTTCATTAGTTGGTAGGTAATACATTTGTCTTTGAAAAAATAAGGAGGTGAACATTTTTTCAAAGCCTCCTTGATGGTGGTGGAATAACTCGAACCATGATTTATTCTTAATTTTTTACTCACCCTGTGTGTTAATTGAGTAATGGTATACAAAGTGCTTACACCCTATACGAAAGGGGCTACTTTTGCGAGCATTTTGTTTTTTTATTCATTGATTTATCTCTAAAATTTTCCGTATTACAGCTTTTTTGCTGATACCTTATGCTTATCCCACAAATTAAATTTATTGAAGGATCAGAGTACTCAAAATTGATTGGGTTGTACTCTGGTAGGATCACATTGTCTTTAAAAAAAACAAATGCCGTTGCCATATCAACTAATTTGTCGTATGCCTCCATATTTGACCATTTGTCGTTGTGTCATTAATAAGGTGTCTTGTTTCTTGTTTCATTGACTAAAATTACATAAAATGCCTCAAATAAATCCTGAACAAGTAGCAAGATCAGTTGCGTTAGTAAACGATGGGCGTATTAAACGTTACGCCGCTCGTGCAGTGGGAGTTCATGAAGCAACTGCTCGTAGAGCAATCCGCAAGTACGAACAAACAGGAAGCACCGCTCGGAGGGTCGGTTCTGGTCGCCCCCGAAAAACTTCTCCAAGAGATGATCGCTTCTTGAGATTGCGGATTTTACGGAATCGATCAAATACTGCGGTAAATGTTCAGCAAGATCTTCGCCAAATTCGTGATGTTGCAGTAAGTAAGCAGACGGTATGTAGACGTCTAAAAGAAGTTAATTTAAAAGCTAGGAGACCTGCAAAAGGTCCCAAATTATTGCCCGAACATCGTGCTGCTAGAAGAAATTTTGTTGAAAATTATGGACAGTGGAATATTCCTGAATGGTCGAATGTCTTGTATACGGATGAGTCAAGGTTTTGCCTTAACATGGTGGATGGAAGTAGAAGAGTGTGGAGAAGAACTGGTGAACGGTTTAATCAAAATTTGATAACAGAATGCGAATGCAAATATCAAGTGCGTCACTTTTTTTGGTACTGAGTGTATTTTCGCCAAATATACTCCTACTCCACTGGCGAACACTGTTTTAACCATATCTAAACAAATGAATCTCGCCCGTTTTCCCTTCCGAGGGGCATTTTCATTAGAACAGTGTGATAAATTGACCAAATACCTCCTGAACAATCTATATATCTCTTCACCTCCATAATGCTCCCAAGCATTTTAATTGCCATTTTTCACATTCGAACGAATCAATTGAAATAACATCCGGCTAAAGAGAACGGGAATGTTCCTGCACCAGGTATGTGAGTTATTAAAAGCTTTTGTTATTGCACAGTGGGTAATTAAGGCGCGATATCCAGGAATTCGCAAAAGGACTGCGGACATTATAGACATATTTTTGGGATATTACCATATTGATGACATTGTTGGTGGACATTGGACAATAAGCGCGTTTACTTGCGAGCGTGAGTCCTGTTTGTTTTGTCCCCTTTGTTGGAAAATCATTTCATATATGAAGAAGATGTTTATATATTTCATATATTGGAATGTATTATAGTTTAGAACAGTATCAGATTCAGAAACCCATGAACTTACACAATCCTAAATATTTCCACATAAGATAGTATGAATTCCAAATCAGCCTTCTCTTCATCTAAACCATCTAAACCAACAACAACAACCTTGTTGAATTCAACGCCACCAAAACTCGATCCTGTATTTTCTCTTGAAAGACGGATATATCAATGTCTGGCACCATTATTACCACAAAGTACACTATATCTATGCTCGGTATTCCCATCAGCAATACTGTTTCATGGGAAAATCATGACAGATCCATCGCGAATGCTGCTTCACAAGAACGCAGATCATTCCATCACTAGCAATACCAGTCGAACGAACTCTACAAGCCCAGTCAACACATCCCTTCGTCGACAACCTTGAGACATGCCGAACGAATCTTTTCCAAAACTCGTTTGTCCATAGAATGTCAAAGCTTCGAAATTCTTTGCCGAAGGGATTATTCCCAAGAACTTATAATCTCCGAAAGTTCAAAAAAATCCAAAGCCTACCTCCTGTCTCTATCCTCCCTCAGGTACCGTGCATATTCTCCGAACAACATAGGGATTCCCAAGAGATTAAAAAAACCTTCATGTATTCTTTCGGAAAACGACAGACACAACAGACGTTTCTTATTTTCACTTGGATGCTGGTCCTGTCAACGGCTACACCTCAGCCTCCTGGGTTTCTTATGCATTCCAGTTTATTTCACAGCACCCATTCCGTAGCTTTTATTTCCTGCACCAGTCTGTACAGGGTCTTCACCGGTTGGCTGTAGTATTCTTCGGGAGTCAGCCTAGGCTGCCCAAATATTCATTGTCTTATGCGATGCAATTCCTCGCATTCTTTTAATAAGTGTTTGGCCGGAACCCATCAAACGGAACTGGAGGATCCCGGTCGACATGGGAAGTTGGGCTTGCTCAGCGAAAAATGGAACTACGATGACGAGGTACGAGGTTCGACAGGAAGGGGCCAGCCCCAAGCGATTCTACCGCCAGTCATCGTAGGCAAAGCAGGGGGTTCTCTCCTGTAAACGAGGTAGAGGAAGAAGTAAAAGTCCTTGAACGATCACACATTCAACGGGACGAGAGGATTCTTGTCAACATGAGTAGCAATCAGGCCAAAGCCTCTTGCGACAGCGACCCATCAAACTTAACAAAAGGAATCTTATTGACATGGGTACCTGGGGTGATGAGGAGAGCCCCATCAGGTTGTACATATGGCCTGATGCCTCACCAATTGGGTTGGACTCCAGGAGGCAGCGGTTTCAAAAAAATACCACCAGACTACGGTAGAGGAGGTGGAAAAGCCCACTATGGGTCAAGTGGGAGGATATCTTGCCTGCCTCGGCGGGTGAGCAGCGTTTCTGGTCGGGCACTGACACTGTAGAGCCAGTAGTCTGTCTTATCAGACGGCCTAACCATTGGTATAATAAAATGGTAGCAGGAGAACATGCCGTTACATAACGGAGATGGCTCTAGCGCGCTGATTTAGCGTATCCAAATCTTTCATTCCTCCCGGGGGTGATGTCGGTATAAGTCGAAAGATAGGTCACCGGCAGTTATCCCCTATGGGAGTCTTGTGAGAGGAGTGGCTACCCTGGCAACATTGATTGATTGTGACCAGTGAGAAGTCCCGTTATTGTTCTGACTTGGTTCCTACTCATCTCGAGAAGTTCTTAAAATTTATTTTTCGCCGGTTCTTTAATGAATACTTTCCTTATCGCTCCTTATCTTTTCGCTTGATCCAGTCCCGTATGTTGAAACAGACGTTACTCCAGTTACGATTGCGATGCTGTTCGCCACGGGGAGCATCAGGCTCCCTGCGGCACACCATTGACCTACGGTCTGCCACCTTCATTACCAGAAATCGTTCAGGCTGTCTAATTATCGACGAGCTATCATCGACTAGCATTGCTTTATGACTCGCTTTCATTCCTACTCGAATATTTACAACTGCAATTGGCGAGGAATATAGGTATACTGTTGGAGTTGGATTCATATCGCTGACCGTGGGAGGGTTTTGAGAGAAGGCCGCCACCAGTGGAAGTCAATAATAAATATTGATAATGTTGAGGATGAGGCTACAAATTCACTGTTCTGAGTCAGCACAATTCGGAAATCAGGAGAAGTAATAATCAATATTTTAGTGCTCGCATTCAATAAACTAGAGATGATACACTGTCTCAGATTCTTTCATATAGCCAATATCTCAGTTATGCTGCTTGGGAAAGAATGTAAAAAAACTACACTTATATCAAACCAGTATGACTTTGAACTTATTGTGTTAAAGTCAACTTCTGTCAAACTACTTCTGAGAAACTACACCTAACCTAAAATTTTCTTGATATTTTGACAGATGGCAAACTCGCAAAATCAGCAACTTCTATGTTAACACTATTCGATAATAAATAGTTCATGATATAAATTTTTGGCTCACAATGTAATTCTTTCGAATCGAGTAATAAAAACTGTCAAGGTTGTTGATCATTTCTTTTGTTATGTTCGTTTTTTGACAGTTGTTCTTGCACGCGTCTTTCAGTCAGTTTGATGATCCAATCAAGAAAATGCCTCTCGCATTCACTCCAAACGAGTAGGTTGATATGTCATTAATTTTTCGTGAGTCCCGGAAAAGATTCCCGTGCTGTCAGCGAATTATACCATCAGCGTTTTCCCGATCGACAACTACCAAATCATACTACATTTTCTTATGTAGAGAACAAAATGAGAACAGGAGAATTTCCAGGAAAAGGTAAGCAAAAGCATGTTCAACATGCTGCACCAGTGCAAACTGAGGAAATGTGTATTAATGTATTGGCCTATATGGAGGCTCACCCCCATATTTCTATTCGAGCACTAGCTGACGAAGTTGGAATAAGTAAGTTGTCTGTGCATAGAATTATAAAAACGCTAAGCAAAATACACATGCACCAGGGAAAGGAGACAAAATTCTTTTGCCACATTGCAAGTTTTCATTGAAAATAATCAAGGTTTATTGGATCAGATCATGTGGAGTGACGAATCAAGATTTCACAATAATGGAACAGTGAACCGACATAATATGCATTATTGGTCACGTGAAAATCCTCATTGGATGCGAAAAACAAATTTCCAAACTATGTGGGGCGTGAATGTATAGTGTGCGGTGTTCAATGGACTTTTGATATTCCCTTATTTTTATCAACACTGAGGGGGGGCGTAAATATCTGGAATTCTTACAAAATGACCTCCAGGGATTGCTACATGTTATTCCTCAACAAGAAAGACAACTTATGTGGTGGCAACAAGATGGTGCCCCACCACATAATCACCACATTGTTACCGAATACCTCGATCAATATTTTCCAGAAACAGAGGTTTGAAGAAAATCGTGTATGAAATAGACCAATAGACTTGAACGACTTACAAGAGAAGATTGTACACGGCTGCACTACATCAGTAACGGAGGAAATGATTAGACTATCTTATACGAGAGAACTGATAAGACGATTTGAAGCAGGCATGAATAATAATGGTAGACATTTTGAGCAGCTCATATAATTTTTGTTATGAATAAATTCTGTCTTATGAAATGTTGAACATTATACAAACTCACTTATTCTGTCAGTTTGACATCTGTCAAAATAGAATGTGTGATACATCGTTCGAGTAAGAATTGACTGCAGTTCACAATTCAGAAAAAAACAACTATAGGGTGCCACTTGAAAATTTGAGGTTGGGTATGTAGGTTTTCAGAATCAACATCGACATTATTTTGGATCAATATAATTTGTTTTTGAAGAAATCATAAATTGTGTTGATGGAATGGATATTATACTGTTGAAAAGGAATATTCTCAGATAAATTATGAACATACAAAAATGGATATATATTTATAAAGCAATACATTGAGAATTCGCATTCTCTATGTGATGAGAATATTTACTCTTTCTCAGTTGATTCAATAGAAAACAACTACTTTCCTGGCTATATGCCACGACGAACATTGAATTATATCTATTGAACACACAATGTATTGCTTTATATAAATATATATCCATTTTTGTATGTTCATAATTTATCTGAGAATATTCCTTTTCAACACTTTCATACCCAATCAGGGGGTTCAAACTTGAACAATGGAAACTTGTGATTTTTATAGACCTCTAATCGCAGATTCGTGATAGAGTCTCAATTCAGAATTTCTTTTCACGCCCTGTATGATGAATGTCAATTTATCATACACCCAAAAGCATTATACTGTTGATTCAATTGGACTACATTCTTGATTTGAACAAGCTGCTTCCACGAAATAATCATGTATCTGGTTAATTCATCAAGCAATTGCTCAGTCAAAAAAAAATAATTCAAGCATAAATAATTTGTTGATGCAACAAATCCTTTGTGTAAGAGGGGGAAGGGGCATTCGTTGGTGTCGTGTGATTGGTGTGCAAAGTTGTTTACAAGAGACAGGCATTTAGAAGCTATACAAGATTTGAGTTATTGCACATAATATGTATATTGAAATGATACTAATATTTTATGGAAACGAGGACGAAAAAAATATCCAAAAATCTAGAGAATCATCCTTGATGCGGCCCTGTCGGTACCTGTTCGATTTGACATGCAGCCCACCCGTACAAAAGCTTTCGACTTGCATCCCCCTCGAAACCGTAACACGATATCATCGGAACTTCGCCTGCATCCTGATGGCATTGCATTGCGCTCTCTGTTTGCTTTTCATATACGAATGCACAATGGCAATACTTGTCCACATGGATATTATATCTCTTTCGGAAAAGGGAACACGCCACTTCATCCGAGGCTGTTCTTGTGGAAGTTGAAACAATCAATGTCCGGTAATTGAACATCTGGCACATGGGCGGTTTTAAAAGGATCAATTCTAGCAGCAACACTATTTCAAATCCATGTCAACGATTTGTTGAAGCAACTCCATGCCCAGTACACAGTTTCGCGGATGATAGTAACCTCCATACCGCCTTCTCTTCCAATACCAGCCAGGCAAATCAGAAACGAACGAGGCAGAAATGTTGACAACATAAATATGGACTTGGCAACAATCTCGAATGGGGATCCAATAACTTTGTAGATTTCAATGCAAACAAGCATGCCTTTTCTCTAGAAAAGCCGATTTCACTGTACCCAACATGAGCTCTTCAGGAGTAACCATACCTTTGAAGACATCCTTTTCGATGCTTGGTATTACTATCAGCAATAACCTTTCTTGGGAAAATCACGTGAGATCAATCGCCCAAAGTGCATCCCAAAAACTTTCTGTTTCGGGCCAGGAGCTATTTCACTTCCAGTCAACTGCTTATGATCTATAAGGCACAGATCCGATCTGTCCTGGAATACTGTTCCCATATTTGGAGTGCAGCACCCAAACATGCCCTGAAACTGTTGGATTCTGTCCAAAAAATTGCAATTCGTCTCGTGGTTGTTGCCTCGCTCACAAACTCACTCACTTCTTTGGAGCACCGTGGAAAAGTTGCCGATCTGGCTCTATTTTATAGATATATTCATGGACGATGCTCTTCTGAAATATCAACAATTGTTCTTCCCTGGGCAGTCCCCGCGAGATTAACCCGTCGAGTTGAGACTTCGCACCTCTTCGTGTTCATTTTGGGGACCTGCAGAACTTCTCTTTCTGAAAATTCGTTCATCTAACGAACAGCGAGGCTCTGGAACACATTGCCAAGGGAGGTGTTTTCCCAGACATATAACCTCCAGAAATTCAAGAAAACCAATGCCTACCTGATTTCCCTTGGTTCTCACGATGTTCTCTGTATATTGAAGGATATCCCTTTTCGTGGGAACCAGAACATAAAAAAAAATTGAGTACGGCAATGATGAACCCAAGATACCCTAGCCGGATATTCACCAAAGTTCAACTTATCTTGGGTAATATCCCCTCGTTTCTCCCTTTTTCCATCTATCCTAACGACCATTCTTGGCCAACTTCTCTTTTCTTCTTCTGCTCCAAGCCCAACTTCACCATTAAGTGGTGTAGGAAGGACAGACTGCGGCCGCTCGACAGATGAAGCATTTTGGGACCATTTTCGCTATCTCCGGGTCAGATGGGTCAATTTGTGGACATCTGTGGCAAGGATGGGGCGATTTGCTGATATCTGTCCAGGTGGACAAGAACTGAGCAACGAGGCTCTGGCAACCTAAACCAAGCTGTGGAAATCCGTGGCGATGGATAAATGGTACCAAAGTATGTTGTCGACATCGCGCCCACAAAGATTGTGAAAAATCGCACATGTTTGCAGAAATCTTATGGTGCCTTGAAACTTTCTATATGCCAATCGATATAATTTGCAGAATAGTTTGAAGAAAATGCTTTGTGATCAATTAATATTATCTCAGTTCAATTATTGTGACGTAAACTATATTGATGATTTTGACGCTTGCAGGATTCATCAGAAAGTTCAAACAATTGTTGTAGGTATAGGTATACTAAACTTACGAAAATATGATCACGTGTCTTAGAACATTGCGAAATTAGGCTGGTTGAGAATGAAGTCTTCTGTCACAAAATCATTTTAACGAAAACTCCATCTTATTATATCTATGAGAAATTCAGATTTCGCAGGCACCTCCATAAGGTGCACAGTATCATATTCATATTTCTTCACATCATACAATGAAATTTGAATCTTCGTTCGCCTACGGAGCTCCTCATGTTATGATATAATTTAAATGACCATCTGAAGCGAATGTCAGTAAGTTCATTTGAGACAAATCTTCAATAAATGCTTGTTAGCTAAGCAACAGATCATCAATTTATGAAAAAAATCAAATAACTCAATGAATCCACCTCTTCTGTAACCAAACAGATTATCCTTAACTCATGATAAAAAGCTATATGCCATAATATATCTATCTCTCACATTTATCGAGAATTATTTTTTCGTTATTTTTTTTTCTTCCTTAGATAGGATTATGACGAGGAG